ACATACAGCCTTTGTATTTCCACACAGAACTTTCGGTGCATTAAGACCTGGTCATAAACTCAGTCTCTTCCTCCTGCTTTATTTGCTCCTTTCCCTATTATTTTCTCTAATACTCAGGTGACTGAGGGAGCTAAATATCTGGGAAAAGGGCAGCTGTTGGAGAAAATTCTTGGCTAGCATGAAGTTTAGGACTTAGACTGCATTGTGCAAAGCTTCATTGGCAAGGGAGCAAACACTTAAAATCAGATAGATAACTTTTCTATCTTTCTTGTCTTTCAGATTATTGTAATTAACCCTTTTATTTGGAGCTATTAGTATTGGTAACCCTTAATCACTTTTTTTTCTTTTTTTTTTTGCTAATACCAGATTTCACTTACCTGAAACAATTCTCACTTTTCCTTGATGCAGACATTCACGCAAATTTATACCACGTTAAGATGAAGGTAGACCCTGTTTATAGCATTACTTTTATTTATTCTCAATTTACATAGGATTTGTAAACTGGATTCTGCCTTGAATTTTTATTTCAGGTGGCCTTAGACTGCAGCTGAAAGCTGAATTTTTTCTCAATTTTAAGTGACAACCAAAGAAGAGTCTTGATTTGCTTGGGTGTTTTGTGCGTTTTGGGTTTGGTTTTTTTGGGGGGTGGGGGAGTGGGGGAGTTTATTAAGTGTGCACTTATTTGCATGTTTCCAAACAATATTCTCATCTGTTTTTGTCTCAAATATTGGCCTCAGCTTGCTTGAAACAAAAGCCCCAACTATATACCGGAAAACCAGCTGTGCTTATTTAAATCTAAGTCTGAACTTGCCTGAAATCTAGTTCCAATTCCTTTTGAAACCTGGTTTGAGACTCCCAGGTTCTCAAACTGTGACCACTCTTTTGGGACATTGATTTTGCACACTAAACATGGGGTTTGTACATGTGTTCAAAATTCAAACCCATCCTCCTATTTATGTGGACATAATATTGGAGCCCCTTTGAAATTACAGGTTCAAAGATAGACTGAGATTCAATACAGACTGAACAATTCTAGAGCCATCATCCTCAAACACCCAAGTGTCTCATTTCAAAGGCGGGGGAACCACTCACTCACTTAAAATGATGCCTGTTTGCAGATTACAGAGCGCGGTGGTGTGACTTGTCATGTTGCAGTGAAGCTCCTGAGATTACAGCCCAGCTCCAGACGTGCTGGCACAGCAGCAGGCTCAGCTCCCTGTGTCACACTGCCTGCTCTGCCCAGGACACCCGGCAGGGCACCACGGGGGCTATGGGGTGGCAGGGCACACAGGGCACCCTCACATCCAGCTGCCACAGCCACAGCCCCCAGACTGCAAATGCCACAGGAGTCTGCCTCGACTTGCTTTTAATTGTAGGCGTTTTCTCCTTTTCACCTCAAGCTGCAGAGTAAATCAGCAGAGATGTCCCCTTTTTGTAGCCACTATTTAGATGGAAAAATAACATGAAGGACAGGATTTCATCATTTTAGTTGCTTTGATTCAGTAAAGGAAACGCTCCGTGTGAGTAATGGCATCCTTAATCAGCCTAGCCCTTGCACACACTTCAAAATACCTTGAAGTTAAATCAGTGCTGAAGTAAGGCCTTTGTTTAGCAGCCAAACAAGAAAGGCAATCAAGCTGTGTTGACATAATCTATTATTTCAGTGAGGTCTGTGAGATATAAAACAGGTTTGGAAACCCAGTATCTTCACAATAGATTGGATATTCAACATATTAGTAAATTCAAGTAATTGTATTTTGTTGTAGTTACAGCAGTCCTTTCATCAATATTGAAATACTCTTCAGTACTGAAAGAATTCACATTAGTCACTCCCAATCACAAGACATAAAAAAGGGAAGATAAATATTAATCAAATAGTTTCTTTCATGAGTGTTTTATTTGAATTTATATCATATTCACAAAAATAAAAGTCTTTAGAAGCACTTTGTGAATACATTGTCTCCAAGCTGAGATTTACAATGGCAAAAGTGAAATATCTGACTTGGATTTGTTTCCACACGTAGACATTGAAGGTGATGCTATGAGAAGCAAGCAGAAATTATGCACTGTGCTGCAGAAAGAAAGATGAAAATGTAACTAAACATTTTAATGTCTATGTAGTTCAACAGCCTACATACAGTTTCTCAGGATGTTTTTAGAGCAAGTTGCTCTAACTTCGTGCAGAAAATATTGAGAGTGCTCATGCCAACCCTTTGACATTGTGATTTGCATGTAACTGCATAAATACAATATACTTTCCTATCTAGAGCTTTATACATATGAAAAATTATGGTACAATAAAAATCTATACACATGGTGCTACCAGTTCAGCAGCTGCTAACTTAAAGGATACATCTAAAAATATGATTGCTCAGCCTCTGAAATACAAAATAAAAGAGCAATCAGAAATGCTTTTTTTTTTTAAATAGCAATTTACATAAAAATTCATCTCTTCATTTTCTCCATTTGCTTAGGTCTGGTAAAAAGACTCTCTTTGGTTGGTTGCAACTGTCCTTGGCAAGAACTGTAGTTTTAAACAGTCCTTTGTGTTTGTCTTAGGCAAAGGTTAATATATTTGTAAAACAGAGTAAATGTTGGCTGGCTTCTATTCCAACTTTGTGCTCTTGTAATGCTGAATGACAAGTACCTACTACACTGCAAAGTTCTGCAGGCTGGAAACAGAAACTTGCATGATTTCCACATGCTGAAAGATGTGACAGTGGAAGAGCATTTATACTGCACCCCAACATAAACCACTCTCTCAATTCATACAGTATGCTTTTAAGTACAGTTTTATCTTTCAAAACCTTTAAAAGTAGGTTTAGCTGCTGCTCAGCAACCAAGTGGTGACATGCATATATCGCAGGATCATTTTATCTCCCAAGAAATTTTGTGAGAGATCAGGTAGAAAGCAAATTCATGAAGTATTACAATCCATTGCTATAAGATATATGTTAGCCTGAGATAAGATACAACTACATTGCAGATTTGTGATGGTACCACTGATATTAGGTTTTCACCCAAAGTGTGGAGGTGGTGTGAAGAGCAAAGGGCTACAAATTACCATCAGGTAGGGGGAAGAAATGGTCTTAGGAGCAAAGTGAAGGTGCTCTTCTCATCTGGTGGCCTGATTCTTGTTATATGAACTACAAAATGATGGTAAAGGAAGTGAAATGTAGCAAATTAAGCTAAAAAAGGAAACTACTGAGTTGCACAAAAGCAAGCAAGGCTAGCACAGACGGTCAAAAAAAGAGCCAAAGAGAGACAGACTGAGAGAAAAAAACTCTTTGAAGTACACAGGCTTATTATTTGATTTGTAAATAAGATGAAGCTCTCTCCACCCAGGTTATGAAAAGTAAAAATTGTCATGTATGGGTAATTGATGGTGACAGCTCTGGCATACACAGTGTAGGAGGTGGTGTTATTGTTTAACATGCCCTACATGTGTAGATAACAAGTTAGGCTCTCATGTTTGCCTACAAATTGTTGCTAAGCACATTTTATACCCTTCATATTGATACTTCTGTTGTCTCTTGGTTTCATCTCTATTTCCTTTTAAGACAAACAAAAGTGGAATAACCTGCAACCTCCAGCTGTATCTTGATGTATTTCAAGCTAATATGGATTCAAACCCAGGGGATGCCTCAGGAAATAGATACTGTATGGATTTAATATTCTTAATTTTCCTTTTTTTTTCCTTTTTCTTTTCTTTAATCTTAGACTTCTCAGTCCTTGTTGTTGTTTTCCAAAATTCCCCATCCCTGAAAAAGTGATTTGAAATTGATCTTGGATGTTCTGTCAGCATCACCAAGACAATCCTGTTTCTCGACTCCCACATCTCATGTACTCAGTGACCTGGTGAAGTGCTGCCTCCTCTAGTTTTTATTTCCCTACATTCTGCATATGCTCAGTGCCAACAGAAATCATTTGTGAGCTGGAGAAAGGAAAAGCTGCCAACAAACGCTCAGTGTCTGCATAGTGCTGCTAGAGGTGAACCCAAAATACTGACCCAGATCTGAATATCCCTAAAATCTCAGTGTCTTTATGTTGACGGGGCTTTTCCTCCAACTAAGAATCCCAAGCACAATTCACAAATACAAGTACAGTATAGGGTCAGACCTGAGGAAAGCAAAGGGAACTAAGATTTTATACACAGTTTAGCTTTGCATTTCCCAAGGGATTTTTGAAAGTATCTAAGTGAGACTTGACAGGAGGACCACGCAGCTTGAAGTACCTGGGGGGACCACTTCCTCATGCCAAGGGATTAATAAACATTCTGCTTGCCCACCTCCTCACTGCTCCATGTGGCACAGATTTGAAAGCTTTAATTAGATGTGCAAGAGGGTGAGAGGATTTATTAACATTCCTACTGGGAAACCAGTGCCTTTTAATAAGTTTGCCCAGTCAGAAAACAATTGTCCTTCAACAGCTTTTGGTCCCCAAGATTGACGTTCTTCCAGCAGTTCACCCTAAAGATATTAGTTAACAAAAAATAGTTTTTTCTCTCGGGGTGAGCTGAATGCTCTTTGGAGATTAGGGAGGACTCTGAGTATCGGATAAGGTCTGGTCCTAAATGTCTGCCCACAAAAGAAGGTCTCAGTGGTAGAGGTGGTATGGGTTCTCCAAATAAATGCTGACAGCCACCTTGCAGAGCCACTGTTGTTGTGGCTGGGATAAGCCAGCTAAGTGGAACCCACTGTCTAATTCAAGAAAAGCAACTGAAAGCCAGCAAAGTATTAAAACACTCAGAAATCAGAGGAGGGAAGGAACAAGTGGTATTGGCCAAGGAAAGCTATAAACCATCTGTCCATGGAAGAAGGCTACTTGGCTCAGAGATGCTTTACTGTTTCCTCCACTTATTGTTGCCTTCCAAAGTGGATTATCATACTCCCTAAATGCCCTAATATTTAGCTCCTTCCCTTTCTTTACATGACTCATAAATCACATTATGCCTGTATGATTTAAAAAAAAAAAAAAAAGAGGAAAACTTCACAAGAAGGGAAAAATAATCATAATTCTATAATGTTAACTTATATCACAGAAAACTGTGTACATTTTTTCCCCATACAGGACATACTTCAAATAAAATAATTTTAACACCAATAATGATAATGTTCTTTCTTCCCGACAGAAGTAGAATTGTTTTTTCACCCCAGTTTGGTACATAAATATAAGAAAATAGTCTTTGAATATTTACATCCATGTGTTTTAAATGTTATTTCTTGATATATTTAATTTTCATTTTCTCTCCAACCACGGGCATTCTTTCCAAATTTATATACTAATCTCCGACCATCCACGCGCTCAAGGATTTCTCTTTTGTAATAGTATCTGTTAAAATAAAAGCAGAAAAAGTTCTAAGAGTAAATTCACCTATGGTCCTAAAAACCCACTACCGACTAGAAAATCCCTTAGCTTAAAAAGTCCATTTTTAAATATATATATATATATATATATATATATATATATATAAAATATCTAAGATTATTTTAACTGAATGACAGAGAAGGAAGAATGGATGTTTTCTTTTTCTTTTATTTTAATTAGCTCCTGAGTTTGAATCTCACTGTGTTTCAGGTCAAAGCATGCTGCTAGATTTATCACACACTCTTAATGAGATTTCACAGGGTTTTTTTTCCAGAGAAGCCAGGACCTGAAAATCAGACTGAGGAAAAACCTCAGTGCCCTTTTAGAAATACATTTTGAAGTTTCAGAGATTATGGGAAAATTCTCAAAATGTTAAATCAAAGAGGAAAGAAAATCCTAACACCTATTTTAAGACAATGGATGTGGGGGATGCCTAGTTTCTGAACGTTGCTGGAAATAACAAGGTCTACATCCATTACTGGGCCATTTAAACATTCTCAGATTTCTGCAACCATATTCCCTTCCTATACTGGCTGTTTGGATGGGGCAAAACAGAATTTATATATATATAAACAATTATTTGTGTTATATATATATCATATAGTCTACAGAAACGGGAGAAGAAAAGAACATAATGCTACAATCTCAAAACTAGTGTGAGAGACTGTCAAAGAAAGTATCTGCTGCTGTTAACAAATCATTTTTAAAAGTCAGACAAATTCTCCATCTACTTGGTCTGTACCACAGTCTTCCTCAGCAACATCCAGCTCACCTCATAGCCCGGCTGAGTTTCTCGTAAGTCATGCTGCTGTTGTTTTTCTTCTTTCCCCACAGCTGAGCCACAGCTTCAGATTTTAAAAATCTGAAGACACCTTCTGACCGGTCTTCCCACTTGATTAATCCTGGGTTTTTCTCAGGATTGAGAAGAATATCTCGAATAAACTCCCAAAGATGAGTTCCTCGAGGGTCTGAAAAAGAAAAGAGGGCAGGAAGGAGTGTCTCGAGAGCTCTCTGGGCTATGCTTGCAATTTTTATGTCATCTACAGAGGGTGAACACTCAGGCCACAGTTTCTGGAACACAGGACCCCCACCTCAGAGATATACAGGTGAAAAACACTGGCAGCCTTTCAACTGCAGGTAAGCATCGGCCTCAGGCAGTCTGAGCCCTGTGGCAGGCAGGTAGGAGCCCCAGCAACCAGGGGAAGCAGAGTCCAAACCACCCACTGCTTCCTTCAGCCTTTGGCACTGTTTCTGCCCTAAAGAGAACATGTTTAAGCCTTCCCCTCATCTCATTTGCCCATTTCTCCCAATCCCTGTCTACAGCACAGCATGTAACCTGATATTATTGTGTGGCACATGAAACAGCCGAGATTACCATGAAGCAGGCACTGAACTTTCATGCATTTAAAAGACAGACAGAAGGCATGGGAGGTGAACTTCCATTCTGCATGAATGAGTAAATAAGGTGTAGAGTGCCTAGAAGGACAGTGACAAAACTGGCCAGCCAAAATAGTATGTAAAAAGTGAACCACAAAGTTTGACCATGGTGGAGAAAAGATAAAAACAGATCTCAAGTTCAACAGGTAGACCTCTCAGTTTAAGCACAAATATGTCTCACAGTTACTCTAAAGACAGCACCAGAAAGTCCAGGTAAAAATAAATAAACGAATAAATAAGTCCATCAAGTCAGATGAAGTAATTTACAAATGAAGAGTAACAAACACAGTGACAAAGTGAGCCAGAAAGATGGCAGTCCTTTGGTCTGAATTCAAAAGCATGCAATTAGACCAAATTAAGAAAAAAAAATAAGCTAGTCAAAGATGTGAAGGTAACTTGAAAATGCTATACAGTGCAGTATAAGTAGAATTAGATTTCAGTCAACTAATTCATTATTTTTATTTATTATTATAATTGGTTTCTGGACCCATTAAAATGTGGTGGACTTAGCCTATCTGGACACCAGTAACTTATGGTCATGATATGGAGCAGTACTGAAGAAACTGGAAATGAAGGGGGTTAGCCCAGACTACCAGTGTGACACGTTTTGTATGCCCAGGCCGTGACTGACATGCTAGAATCACAGAATATCTCAGGTTGGAAAGGACCTACAAAAATCATCAAGTCTTACTCCATGCTCCTCACAGGACATCCTAGAACTAAAAAAAGTACATTGTCCAGACACTCCTGGAACTCTGTCAGGCTTGGTGCTGGGACCACTTTACTGGGGAGCCTGTTCCAGTGACTGACCAACCTTCTCTCTTGTGCAGACTAAACTACTCCTGGCACACCTTCACTCCAATTCTTCATGTCCCATCACCGGTCACTAGAGAGAGGAGATCAGCGTCTCCCCCTCCACTGCCCTCCTTGAGGAATCTGGAGACTGGGATGTGTCAACCTTCAGCCTTCTCTTTCCCAAGCTGAACAAACTGACAGACCTTTCTTCAGATCAGTCCTGTCTAATCCTTTCAACCTTTTTATACACACACACACAAACACACACACACACACACATACAAATAAACCACCCAGATATCTGTGTACAAATCTAAAGTTCAGAAGTCCTCTTGTGGCAAAGCAACAGAAGAGTAAGAGTCAGGAAGAGACATAATCTAGAGGTCATAGAAAAAGGATGAACCCAAATATCACAAAATACAGTGAAAGACCAATACTAAGCTTTCCTATTATAATCAGGGGAATAAATAGGATGAAAAAGACATACACAGGATATTTTCAGCATTTAAAAATCTCAGTAAAGTACATTAATGGAACTATGTACAGAAATCACAGTTATGGTATCCTGTCTTCAGAGTCAGGTTGAATAAAAACTAGCAGAAAATGTAGGAGAGGGGAGTGGAAAGACTGTTGTATCAGGGGATAAGAAGATGGCAAGACTGAGGCACAGGTGCATGCTTGTGATGTTGTGCGTGAGAAGTTCTGCAAAGAGATGCTGAGCAGGGTCTGTGGTGTGTGCTGTGCCTGGCAGGTACAGCATGACTGTGCCCACACACAGGCCCTCCTGATTTAATCCTGGGTCTTCCTCATCATTCCTTTACTCCACCAGCCTAATTCAACACAGGCAGAGACACTGGTTGTTTCTTCATAGGCCCTCACTAATAAAAACAATTTGAAAAGTTTAACAATATTGAGTCCAAAAATGATGTAAACAAGCAGAATTAGACAGATTCTTTCAGAATTCAATCACAATAATGATTTAATGAGTTTTGTGTTCAAAACGCTTCCTCTTCCCTCCCAAATAGGATCTGATTTTCATTTATTTCTTTTTCCTTCAATCAACTAACCAAACATTATAAGCATGGATGTTGACTTACTGTGTTTCTTGGTGTGGGACTTTGGGGTATGGTCTTGCGATTTTTTTGCGTCTGAAGAGTCTGCAGAGAAGGAAAATGAAGCCTACTTGTAAATTTGATTAAAGGCTTTCCATTTACTAGCATGCTGAAAGAAATAAAACCACAAAAAAGAACAAATATCTCTTCTAAAGATAATCACTTTTCGGAAGGTAATCTAAGTGAGGAGGGAGAGTTTTGTTTTCTGTACTATATGTTAATCAGCACACTTCTCAAAAAGACCATTGATGAATAAAGAATGAATGCAGAGGTAAACATTTGGCTTTTGAAAGCTAAATTTGATTAACAAATACCTCATCTCATGTTGTGTGTGAGAGAGAGAAAAATAGCATCATCACATCTGTAAAAGGAATCCTGAATTGTACCATTATCTTAGTCTTTGCTGAAGCACATATCTTTGGGGGCTTATTTGCTTCTGAAGAGATGATCTAATGGGAAATGCATGTGCTGGTACCAATGCACAGAACACCTACCTGACTAAAACATAATGAACTGGCAAAGCATTGTTGTTTAGGGGGGCAGGGTGGGGGAAAGGGGCTGAGCTGGTAGGAGTTTTTGGCAGCAGGACAAGCATATATTTTTCTGTGGCTCAGAGCCATAGGAACAAGCCATTTCTCATCAATGGTACTTTATCACCTGCAGCCAGCCAGAGGAGGAATAGGGTTTCTGGCACAAGTATTTCTTCAGAAATGAAAAAAAAAAAAAAAAGAAGTTCCGCCTGTTCATGACTGTAACCTACCTCACAGTCTGCACGTTCAAGCCTCCCGCCCCCAAACCACCGCAGCCTGGCTCTGCTCTTGTACTTAATGAATAGCTTTCATCTGATTGCTCTAAGTCTCGCAAAATCTGTGGGATAGACCTGAGAGGGAGCCCCTTCTGTGTTTGCTTTTCAGCATGCCTCGTCCCTGAATCCCATAAAGCAAAGCTTAAGGTCCCACGCATGTTTTCCCAGCTTCTATGAATGCACAATTATCATACTTTTCATGGAAACCAGGCATTTGCATGGGAAAATGACTCACAGGAAATATTTATTTGCATAGAAACTTGTCGGATTTGCACAAGCTACTGCAATAACTGCATGTGAAAAGGTAGATGCAAAGTTATTCACACACTTGCTTTATTCATACATAACTGGAAACATCAACTGAACAAGACCGTGGGGATAGGCCTAACCTCTGCTATTCTAAGTCTGATAAATTACTGTCCTTGACCCCAAGCAGCAAACGTGCTCTGAGTCATTTTGCCTTCCCACTCTCAAAAGAGCAGGAACCTCACTCAGCTCGGAGGGGGGTGTGGTGTGGGGGAAGTAAAATGAGGCTTATTTCACTGCCTTTCCTCAGATTGTGATTCCCCATATGTTATTAAAAGCCTGTGGGAACTCCAGGTAACGACTGCAGGACCCAGTTCTTTATTTGCCCTCATATAAATCCTTCTTATTTTAAAATCCCACAATTCGCTTGCAAATGTTTGTTATGCTCCACTTAGCTGGAAATTTATTCTTGGAAGTTCAGCTGCCTTCTGCCTAGCCAGTGATTTATTCTGGATTTCAGCTGTGTAAATAGCCTCCTGCTCTGCCTCGGCTCCTACTTGGAGACTGGTTTCAAACATGCCATGTTAGGAGGCTGGGGCCTGACAGATGAAAAGAGTTATGATGCAGTTTCAACAAAGCCGTCTTGCAAAACTTTTGACAAAAGGTTACTCATTATTTGCATATGATTCAGGAATGAGCCACTTTTTTTTACGGGATATACAAATTTAGTTTTTACAGGAGGCTGTGCCCTTGGTGTGCCACCCTAGCTCTAGGCTTAAGCAGTCAGCAGATAAACAGACCGTGCCAGGATACGGACAGGTCCCCAGCCCTGTCAGAGAGCCCTGAAATCCTGCTGGCCATCTTGTGACAGGGGGTGCACGTGGTGGAGAAAGTAAACAAGGTGTTTGGTTGGGGTTTTTTAAGGTTTGCTGGTTCTCTTCTTCTTCTGGTCAAGTTTTCTCTCTCTCTCTCTTTTTTTCTTTATTTTTTTCTTTCTTTAATTGGTAGTTGAGTGCATTAGTTTAAACTGCATGCTGCTTGGCAAATCCAGCTCAGGAGGCTGGAGGAGCAGGGGACGGCAGGCACAGAGGCCACTGTGGGCAGCAGCACAGGGCTGCCCGTGGTGCATGGCTGCATCTACGGCAACGTGCTCTCCTTTCTTATCCTCCCAGGACTTCCACTGCTTTCTCCCTCAGATCTCTGCTCCATGGCCTCCTAGGAAGAACCCGCCCTTCCCTTGCCGCTTTCTCGCTCCCCTGCTGTCTCTGCTTTACTCTTTCCTCACTGCCTTGCTCTCCTCACCTCCATCCTGGTGCCAGCCCCAGGACAGGGCCCACAGGGCCTTCGACACGCGTGATCAGACTGCACTTGGACCAGGCACGACAGCAAACAGGTTTGCTCTGTCTCCTGCCCTTCAGCAGGCAGATTTGCACTCTCCCTGACGGGAGGGAGCAGTCCCGCTGTCAGCAGAGAGAGGCTGCAGGAGAAGCCCTTGTGCCGGGGTACAGGGCTTGGTGTCTGCCCTGCAGCTTCCCCAGGCCACCCCGAGCCTGGCCCCAAACCCAGCAGCCTAGTCAGCATGAATCACGGGCTGGCCGGGGAAACACGGCCACTTCTGCCCAGGAACGGGCACTTGTTTGCCCATACCCTTCTACACCACAGAAAAGTGTGGTGTAGCTGGAATGTCTTGTCTCTCTGACACTAATGTTTACCCCTTTGACTCAGTCACTTTAAAAGATATGTGGAGATTACAGATCATTTGATCATCTTTCTCTTGACAGAGAGAAGACAGAAGCGTTTCTTTAAAGAAAGCTATTGTAATAATGACAGCTAATATATCTGTCAGAATCATCATTGCTTGGTTTAAAATTACTGGAGGCTCAGATGCAATCCTACAACAGAAGACCACAGAGACTATTACATGTCGGTAGCTCTAGGACAAGTGACAAACAATTAAAAATATAATTACAAGTTTCTTACCAGAAGATTGGTGACTAGGTGTCATCATGGAAATCTGAGCACGACAGAATGTTTTACTGTCCAATAACTCTGGGAATTAAAAAGAAGACATTTAAACTAATAGCCTCAGACAACAATAAAGCCATCTCAGAACACATGAAGTATTGTGATGTTAGTTACCTACTGTGCTACCATAGCCACTGTCATAAAGATAATTCTCTTCTTTCCAGGACACCATTAATGATGGATCTAAAGGTAAAGGACCAAAAGGAAAATCAGATCACTAAAAGAACATTTTTAGCACAGAGGTAAATATTGAAAGAATTAAAAATGGGGGGGGGGGGGGGAAGCTGTCAAGAGAACAAGGAAGTGAAGAGGCTATATACAAAATTATTTCCTTTCACTCAAATTATGCATGGAGTTCTTCATATTCAGGCAAATGTATTTACACAAAGCACTGACTTTTAGAAATAATGTAGTATGCTCTTCCTTTTCCTGACTAGTATATCATTTATGCCTGGCCTTGGAGGAGGTTTTCTATGCCAGATCAGCTCTAATTCTACCCAATCCAGACCTGAATTCTCAGCCCCTGATGATTATGACAGTGCGTTGGAGCCACAGAGATGAAAGTGTTCTCAAATATCTAATAAAACACAAGAATGCTTATGATGAGTATTTATTTCTATAATGGTAGAACTCGAAAGTCCTCTCTGAAACACAGCTTCATGTTTAAGCACATAGTGAGAAACATCAAAGCCTAATCCTAGATGAAGGGACATTTTGTTCCAGGCATCTTAAGTCCCCATCCTTAACCTAAAAACCACTTTCATGATTAAAGAGGAGTAATTTTTAGTGACCTTCTGGTCATATGGATCAATATAAGCAGAACAGAAGTATTGTCTTTATGACCTGTACACTGGTCTGGAAATTACTTCCTTCACAGTGCATTTTTAAGGTCAGAAGACCTAAAAATCTATTTTTCTTTTGAAACCAGATCAGAAGGGATGAGATATAAGGTTCAAACCTAGGTTAAACCTAATTTTTTTCATGTTCATATAAATGAAATCAAAAACCCCAAAATGAGTTACAGCAAAATAATCATGTTTGGCCAAGTTACCACTTATGACATAGGAATTTAGCAGGCATGCTAACTAATAGCTGCATGTTTGGGCACCCAGAGCTTGCGTTCCTACAATAGCACACACCCTCTGCTTGCTTGGACACCTGATCTGCCTAATGTTGCCTCTGAAAACAGGCTTTACCCAGCCAGAACACGGGGACAGTGTTCACCTTCCCATTTTGGCCTTTTTCAGTACCCATGTCTTTGTAGCTGTGATGGTTTACTGGAGTGAGCTGGGCTTCCCCTCAAAACCACCTGCCCTGTCCCTGCTGTCTCACAAGGAGTGACTTTTCCCAGCAGCCCTAATCTACAATTCCCACTCCCCCACGTGTAGAAACTTAACCCACTCCCACTGGCTGTGGTTGGCACCACCAGAGCCCCACCAGGCCACATCCAGGGAACCATCCATCAGTTAGTCCTTTCCAAGATGTGCAGCTGAGGTAATAATATTACACCAGGATCTCATAAATCAGGACTTAAAGGATTACTGGAGTTACCTCTATGGAAAGCAGCAAGGCTGCCTCATGCACATCTCCCATACCATGCAGACACAGGCCAGGAGTAGATTGCAGACTGCAATCCTTGCCTGCTGCAAGGAGAATGTGGGTAATGTTCCTAGCTGGAGAGGCTGGGCTCCAACAGTTTAGGTGGATAAACAGGCTGACAGTATTTCTTGGAGACGCCACATGCAACAGATCTGTATTTGTTCTACTAGCAAATATCAAAACGTGGCTCAGGGACACACCTACATACAAAGAGGCTGGGACTAGTGGGATAGAGAATGTGTGGATATGGACAGGTGTGATCTGGCAAAGGAACAAGGAAAATAATTGTGCCTGAAGAGGACGGCTAAACCAAGCTGAAGTTCTTTTCTTAGTTAAACAAAGCCCTGGGAGGAAAGGGATCTAGCTATAAACACACTCAGAAAAAGAACTGCAACAGCAAAAATGCAGATTTGATCAAACCAAACTACTGCCTGAATTTCAGTTTTATTGAAACCTGTGAAGAAATTAAAATGCAACATTTTGTTTTCTCCCCCAGCTGTTTTCTTTGGAACTCTGGTGTTTCAAACATTAACAGCACTTCACAACAAGATATTTTTTCTTCCTTTCTTTCTTCCTTTTTTTTTTTAAACTGAGGATATTGTTAAAATACTTGTTTTGAAATCTGCCAAATGGAGCATAGAATGAAGTCCTCTACAAAGCTGCCTTCATGGCACCTCAAACTATTCCAGCTCTGAACATCAGAGTAGACTGCTGATACTGCAGAGGTCACCCAGGAAAAGTGGCCCCATCCATGTAGTATTACCTGAAACTTCAGAAGGCGCTGACTGATGTTTGTATTACTTCTTTAATTCTGCATTATACACTTTCCATTTTATTTAATGCCCCTTTGATTTGTCTCCCTTGGAAGAGGGGTCCCCCTTTTCAAAAGACAATTTACCCAACTGCTACTCACCTGTTTGCTCTGTCTTCACAATGACATTATGAGATTGGTACATGTCACTTCCACACTGACCTGCAAGAAAGCAAATTGGCAGATAGGAGGTATGAGAATGAGGAATCAAATATATTAGCTCCAAGCAGCAACTTCTACACCTGAGCCAGAGGGCTGATTTTGGAGTGGGAAACATTCCCTCTCATCTTCATCCTTCAGATTTCTGCCTTAAGTCATACCCAAGAAATTTAGCAATACAGTAAATGAGCTATAAGCAGAATAGCAAACATAATATGCCAGGCAGGTTTCTGGGGAACGTAAATGACTTCTGAAGATCTCAGAATTCAGACCAATGTACACATGTCTCTCTAATATCTATTTACCATTCCATTTTAGGTGCTGGAGGTTGCTGTAAAGCAGTTGTCCTGCTGTCCCAGCTGCCTGAGTGAATTCTTGCAGGCTCATACTACACAGATGTTCCCCGTTGATATCAAACTCCTGGAAAGGTATGCAGTTGGCATCCAGTTGGTTGGTATCAAGGAGGTGCTGCAGCCACTCCCAGACTTGAAACTTAGTCCAGTACTGAGGGTGTATTTCATGCCATTGGGTTCCATAGAAGCTACTGGATACTGGAAAAGATAAAAAATATTTACTGCCCCTGATAGCATAATAGTCATCAACAATAAGATCTACAGCCAAACTGCACATCTTGAAAGTCTACAGATCTAGACGCTTTTCTCATTCCTTAACATTGGACAAGCTGGAGAAGATATTGTGGGGGGCTTAGCCTCAGTTTTCCAACTAAAAATTGGGCATTATTTCATGACACACTTCTTGGCAAATTGATTTGCAGGAATTAATTAATTAATATTGGTTAAATACATCAAAATTCTCAGAGGGAAGACATTTTACAGAAGTACTGTTGAAAAGGGATGTGTGGGAAAATGATTTTATTGCATCAGAAAATTATGGAAAAGCCTTGCAAAACTCTCAAAAGGTGACATGGAAACTTTCTTTGAATAAGAACTTAGTAGGGGCTAAACATGAATTGTGGGGTTAGAAAAAGGAAAGTTAAAAGCACTCTCATACTACTCCACAGTAAAAGCCTATCAGTGTGGGCCATGGTTTTATGACAGTGTAGGCATCCTGATGGTGCAGGTTATTGCCGTAGATATCTAAGTTGGTTTCTGAATGTAGCTGTAAAACTCATTTTAGTTATGGAAGCTGCCTGATTTTCTTGTTAGAATGTCTGAGTCCTTTCTTGGCAACCTTTTAAACTGTGCTCAGTTGTATGTCATCTCGCGACAATAATTTGCATGTGCAAATGGAAGAAATTGTACATGGGGCATGATCATTATGTAAGATAAGAGCAAAGGCAGGATTGCTTTGGTCTGTTCTCACAGAGTTCAGTGCAATTTATTCCCTGGGAAAGGAGGAAAACGGACTACACCAGACAGAGGTGACGGTGAGATAAAATGTTCACAAGTGCAAAAAGGGTTTAAGGCCGAGGGAATGAGAGATTACAGAAGGAGAGTGCCATGGCCTAGCTCTGCAGTGCTATCCCATTCCAGGATATGGCACCAGTCTGTTCCCAGTCTCTTCTAGAAAAAAATTAACCACACAGTGGGAAATACTGACACTGGATATAGCTAGAGGACCACAAGCACCAGAACTCGTGCATTTTAGGAAATCACTTTAACTGAGGTTCACTAGACCTCAGGTCTCTTCAGCTGAGGTACAGGACGCAGTTTCCAGGTAACACAAAAATAATCCCCACAGTTATTTAGCATTCTTTTTCAATATTAGCCAACAAGGTTTGTGTAAGTCATTTAGTGACTTTGCAGGACTGTTCCTCATTCTCCCATTGAAGGATTTGGGGAATGCATGTGGAAATTATTAGAAGTGTGGTATGTCAGAGAAAAAAGGCTTGCTGGATCTGCCAAATATCCCCTGAAAAGAGGCTGATTTGTATTCTTATCAATTCAGAAGAGTAAAGTGATTTCAAAGGGCACTAGAATCCTCATGTTAGCAAAGGTACTTTAGTGAGAGGAGAAAGTAGCTTAGGTAAAAGTAAGTGAAGTGGTGAATTACTGCGCAGGTTGGTCTGAGCTTTCATCTTCCTGTCCCTCTAAAACTTAAGTGAATCCTGAGGAGTTTCACCCTGGAAATTTGATACAGACCCCCACCATTTCCCTCCATGAAATCCTGTGGAATAGTGAAACTCAGACATGACTTTTTTTTCTGTATGACACTGTTATAGACAGACAGGCACATTTACTAAGCACATGTTTACATATTCCAGCATATTTAGAAATTACACATAAAAAAGAGTAAGCATTTAATTTAGTGTGGACTCTAATTGTAAGTTTTGTTGTAGTATTATTTGGATCAGAAGGACAAGAGCAGCATGTGATTGTCTGTTTAGATTTTACCTGTCCATTGAATTATGAAAAGAATTCTAAAATTGTGTCAAGCACCTATAAAGATATACATTTATAAATATTTTTACACTGAGAGACTATATATTAATACATTTTTATATACACAGATACATAATCAGAAAACTGTAAGAAGAAAAAAAGAGAAAAAATCACAAGCCACAACCTATCTAGTGCTCTAATGCCAGTCTAATTAGAAAGCTGTCTAGTCGTTTGAGCTGATAAAGCAAATACAGCAAAGGAGCTAAAATACTATTCCCCTGGAAAGCCAGAGGGGCGATTAGCATTAAACAGTAATGTTGGTTCAGAGGAAGCACGAGGGGTACAGGTACTAGAGAAAGAATTCTGGACTGAGAAGAGAGAACTTCTGGAACTTTCAACACCATTAGATTTTAAGTGAGCCAGTAAGGAAATGAACAATAAACAAGTACCTTTTGCAAGTTCAGCTTTTTACAAATGAAGGAACAAATGAAAATTTTTCTTACGAGAAGTGAAACTCCAGTAAATTAGTACTCATAAAAAATAATACTCTTACATGCTTAAAGGTGTAGCAGCCCCTTTCCCCCAGCCTCCCAAAAAAGAATATGGCTCAGAGCAGTTGAATTTCTCCTACCGTTGCATGTGGAATATCCGTCTGTCCAGGAAGGCTGCTGGTGGAGTAGATTGCTGCTGGAATTGATACTCATCCTGCCAGCTCCTTCCAAAATCATGATCTGTAAGTGAATCAAACAGCTTGCTTAGTGAGCAGTGTCTAGTCCAAGAGGTAAATGGCAAAAAAAAAAAAAAATAAAAAAAAAAAAAAAAATCCACTGAAGGTGAAGCAAGGAGGCCAATTCCATTTGTAAAAGAAGATACAACTGAAATCAAGAACATGTTGACACAACCCCTTTTCCACTGCCACAAAATCTCTTTATGATAAACATTACCATGATTAATTTGCATACGCAAGAAGCAAGTTTCTACAGCTGCCCATCCATAAATGAATAATCTGTAATCAGAAAAGAAGCCGAATGAAAAGACAAGGCTCCTGACAGAGCAATACGTGAAAACTGCCAAGCTTTGAGGAATGAAATACTAAATACTTGTTTTCCTTCTGCTTTAAAAAGAAATGTGATTTAAACATGTTCTTCCTTTTTCTTTTCTTTTTTTTTTTTTTTAGGAGAAAGAACTTTCCAATAACTGCAAATGAAACTATACAGTAGACTACAAGCCATGCTCAGAAAATCCTTCACATAGAAGGATACACGTAATGTTACAGCAAGGTAGCCTTACAGGGAATATCTTGTCAGCTGACCCAGTTTCTTATCTGATCTGTGTCAGCAGTGTCTATAACACTTCTTGGTAACAAATATCACAGATCATACATTTCAACCCACAAAAGAAATCCAATGGTAAAAGATCTTGTAAATGAGACAGTCATTGTTTTAACAAAATCAGTATTTCGGAGTGACACCACCCCCAAGACAGCATTCCCTCTTTTAAGTAAATTTTTGTTTCCATGTATCTTAACATTAGCACTGTGAGTAAAACTGTGCTTTAATTTTTTATGTTTTTTTTAAAAAAACCCTATTTATATGACATTCTAGAAGAAAGTTATATTTATCCCATGCTTAATCATTCCAATGAAAGTATACAGAATTCCCCAGTGATGGGTATTCTTGATGTTTTACATTATCTTTCAGTGGCATGAAGTTGTAAAGTTTAAAAATATACATTATAACCAAAGATATTATTGAGGAGATCGGGAAAGTAATTTGTTAAACATTACAAAGGCTTTGGATTGTAATTCTTATATACACAGGGGAAAAAAAAAAGAAAACCAAACCCCTGTTCAAAAATATTGAAAGCCGCAAAGTCTGTAAAAACAAAACATTAGACATCAGGATGGCATGTGCATGCAACTAGACTTCACCCTAGAATTAAAAAGGTTATGAAATACAAAATGGACTTGTGAAGGGTAAAGTCACTGGTCTTGGCTGTTTATCCACTGAGGCCAGTGAAAAAACATCCACTGAGAGCACATCTCTACCCCGTACAAGCTCATGCCAGCAACCTTTTTGGTAAAAGAGGGAGTCAATAGGAACACGTACAGCCTTGGTTTTAAAGGAGCGGTCTGAAAATGATGGGGATTGCTATTTTCCTCTGTCACTTAAAATAAATCATGTAACTTAAAAGTATCTATTTCTTCCCCCACCCCTCTACTGCTCTATGTACTTAGAGAGGGGAAGGGAGAGAAAGATGTTTAAGATAATTGCTTAAAAAGCCAAAGCCTTAGAAAGTTTAAGGGAGTTTATCACAGGGAATATTGCTTTACAGTATAAACTAGTTTAGGGTGTTGGTTTTTTTTTTGTTTATTTGTTTGGGTTTTTTTTTTTCAGTAGCTACACAGAATGGCAAAATCAAACCACGGATGATTTGGCAGTCACTTTCCACTTTTATTTCTAGGCAATCTGTGATTCAGTGACCACTAGCAAGGAGGATTTAATTTCTCATAGTAGGTATATGGGGTTATAAAACATTAACAATTGAGAGAGATACTTCTTGGCCCATTCTGGCCAAATTAAAAGTGACTATAATCACATCAGTCAGTACATTTATACAAGTTAGAAGACATTTTTTAGTCCTATGTAAAGGCCAAGCAACTTAGTATTGTGAGTGAGAAGGTGTGAGGAAGCATTTGAATTCAATCTCATGATTACAAACATGTTCAGCCTATAATGTATATAAATTATATACTTGATGTGTAAGAACTTTTAAGCAATAACATGTTTGACAGTCAATACATACACTTCTGAGTTTGTACAGGTTGATGATGTATCAAGTTATTTCTTTAGATTTGGTTTAAATCATTAAAGACAATTAGCTATGAATGAATGTAATATTAATGAAAAAGACCTTATTACAGTATCAAATAGAGACGAGGTAGTATACCAGCTACTCTGGGGAAAAAATAAAACTTGAAGGATAGGAAAACACACTTAGAAACTTAGTTTGCTAAATTCACTTCTTTTTAAAAAATTATAATATGCACTTCATAACTTAAATACATTGATCTGAAGTCACATTTACAGAAACTATCTCAGAATTAAAAGTACGGTGTTATGTGGTTTTGTATTCCGCAACTTCTGTATTTTCAGGCATTCTACACAGATTTCATAATGTGTGCAAGGCTTACAAGTACATCTAAGAAAACATGTGCATATGAACTGAAATTATTTGTGTAATTTTGTCCTGAAATTTCATTTAATTTTTTTTTATTTTCCATAATTAATCAGGTGGATTTCCAAACCGAAAGATCCTATCACACTTTGATTCGGCAACTGAAGGTATGGATAGTTCATCAAACCAAATAATGTGCCTTGCATAGTTTTTCCACCCCAGCAGTAACTAAACCCAATGCACATTAGAGGTCTGAAAAAAAGAACTCTGACAGCCTCTACCCGAGATCTGGATTTTAGCTATCTTCCTTTAAAATGTCCTCTCCCTATCACAGTTTAGCAGACAGTTGGTCTTCACCATATCCCTTCACCATATCAATCAATCATCCCTGTTTTGGAAGTTAAATAAATTATCTCCACCTCAATAACTTAATTAATTTCCAGTATCACCTGCAGGAACAATTGTGCCTAAGAAGGAGAATTTACAATATGACATTAATCACAGAAGGAGGACTAGATTTAGCTTTAACCTAAACTTTGCAAAAGTTCTGAGTATTACTCAAAGAACAGGTTTTTTGGTGTCTTGAAAATTTTCAGGTCACCTCCTTTATCTTAATGCAAGGGTGTTCCTTATTTGGAAATCATTCTAGCACTTTGTTCAGGAGGATTATAAAGTGCTACTAACAACTTCCACACCTGTGCTTGGAAGCATACAGAATTATGCTCAATGATATTTTCTGTAGGAAAACTAAAATGGGATTTTCTTCATGTCATCCTGTATATGCCTTTCTTTACTAAAAATTCATGGAAGGTTTATGCTTATAGAAGTGGCTCATCCCATACTTGACAAGATTTTGAGTCAGGATATTGGAAGCAGCATGTTCCTCATCAGTCCAGGGCCAAATGTTCAAATCTCCCCAGCGTACAGACAAACTTGGTCAAAGGGTGTGAAAGCTCAAGGGGAAGGACATATAAGATGTTCAGTTTTCTTTTAATTATATTCCATGTATCAAAGTGAATTGTGGAACTAATGAAGCCTGGTTTCCTATGAATGTGTATCTTGTGGTTGGATTCTCTAGTGTCTAGTAAGATGTGAGTGCTGATTGAAGTTTTTCCCACGGTTGGGGCATTCATAATATCTCATTGTCTCAAAGCAGTGAGCTCAAGCGTTACTCTTTCTTTCAGACTGAGTATTAATGGGTTTGCCTTCTGTACTCGGCAGCCAGTTTTCATTAATCCTGTAAAAACTTCATATCTCTGGGACTTCTACCCCCATATCAAGTTTAATTAAAATTGGCGATGAAACTCAAAGATTGTTACAGGCCAAATGTAAAAGCCAAAACACCAAATTACCACAAAAACCTCATTTTCTCTGGAAACCGTATTAAAAGGGATTCTATCTGAGCTGATATTTTGGAAAATAATATAAAAATCTTTGAGATCTGTCCCTCTACTCTGACATGGTACATTATAAACCAAGCATAGATGAAATATCATTTGGGTATATAATCACGTATATTTTTGTAGACATACACACACCTGTCTATGTCTGTGCATGGCAGGTGTCCATACACACAATCCCATTCTGTTCCCCTGAAGAGGTGCCGTCTCTGGAGTTATAACACTATGCAAATAACGCCTTACTCAGCCAGCACAGTTAAATATAGTTATGCACTGGTGTTCAGCAAAATTCTTTCTAGACAGAGTCCTGTTAGAAGGGATTAATGCATTTAAAAAAAAAAAAAAAAAGTCGTTCACCAACATTCATTATATCAGATGGTATTCCAAGACCAAACCCTGAAGGCCTCTCTTAGTAAAACCTCTCACTGGAGTCTGAAGGAGCTTTGGCTGAGCCACAGCCCAGCAACCTGGCAGTAGCAGGAGGTCATTTGCTCTGCTCTTCTTCTCTTCCATGACCACCTGACCACCTTTCTCTTTCCATTACCACAACAGCGATAATGGAAAGAGAAAGGAGCCATGGCCTGCCTGTGGAGCAAATCCAGCATTACAGAAAAATATATTTACAAATCCTTGAACCTTGAACACTCTATAGTGCACCTTATGCAAATTATTGTGCAATCACTACAGATGTGCTCCGAAAATAAATTACTCTGATCCCCATTTCCCTATTCAACCCAATGAATCTTAACATCCATATAAAGAGTTTATCCTTTCTTTGAACCAGAATCTTTCAAGAACAGCTTGTATTAAATGACACAAACATTCTGAACACAGGAAAGACGCATAAGTGGTACAGAGAAAGTGGCTGAATCCTGCAGTAGTACAACCAGAGTGATTATTCTGATACCAGTTTGTACAGGTGCTCATGGACACAACTCTGGAGTGAACTAAGGGGGCGTGGAAGGGGAGCCCATAAGAGAATAGGGGAAGGGGCCCTCCCGCTGGTAAAGCCATACACAACAACAATGTCTAGGGCAAAACAGACTGAAACTACTAAGCCATGACTCCACCTGTAAGCTATGCAAAGTCTAAGAGTGACTTCTAGCTGAGACAAGCTCAGTGCAGCTCCTCCTGGCGTGTCCAAAAGGGTGGATCTCTTTTGGCATATTTACCTATGGGATTCTTCCCCATTTTTCCCCTTTTACCATCATGGCTGAACTTCAAATGTAGATTTCACCTGGGCCTATTTTCTTTGAAGTGTGTTATGTACACAGTGAAGACACAATCCCTGCTTTTCAGGGCTTGGAGTTTATGGAACAAGTATCTACAGAGAATGTTAAATATTTTAGATCATTACTGCATCTTGGATTACAGTCAAAGACTTACACAGTAATCTAAAATAAATAATACCAAATGATAATTGCAACTGAAGAGTAACAAAATCTGGATTTTTAATCCTTTTCTTGAAAAATCAAAAGACTAGTAAGTGGGGCAAAGTTTTCAAGACGTCACAAAGGGCATGTACAACATAGCACATGGACTTGTTTTACACATATGTCTACTTCGGAAACATAAGTGCCTTGTACTTGTAATGTATATGATCAATTAGCTGCTTTGCATTCCAACCAGCTATTTTCCATCTCCAGTGGTGGTAAGGGCAGGCACAAACTGAATGTATGAATGCTGAAAGCTTGTTTGCATGCTACTGTGAGCTTTGGGTCTTCTGTTATGGGATTTTTTATTCCCTTTCATTTAATGTTCATTACTACCAGGGCTCCAGGGTCCTAGTCTGTGCCAGTGTGTCTATACATACAGCTATGGCTGACCCAAAGATTGCCCTGTGATCTTTATCTGTCTAATTTGCAAAGGTCTTAGGTTCATCCCTGGTGTCTGTGCCAGACTCCCATATAGGAGATAATCCTTGCCATGGCTCGCTTTCAGATGTGACCTTTTCTGCAGTGTGTTAGCATCTCTTCTGTCTGTGTAGATTCAGTTGTAGCTAGCACACACCTCCTTGTTTCCATACCTACAGTGCCTATAGAGCAAAGAGAAGACTCAAATGAAATCAGGCCGATTACTCACAGGCATCTGCTTCAAAACAAAAAGCTCAACTTTGGACAACTTTGCTATGGCCTGCAAAGGTCCATTCAGGTGACAGTCTACACAGCTTGACCTGTTTGATGATAACCTCAAGAGTCACCACTAAGAGAACTGAAAAACTCTTGGAAAGCTTTGAAAAAGTTAATAGAAGAAACACTCTGATCACACTCAGTATTTGCTGTAAAACATACCGAGCATTTGATGCATTTCATTTTTAATCTGTCTCATGTGTCTTTGGGCCATAGTAACAAAACCTGTTTACTGAATCACATTATGACTATAAAGTTCAAGGAATCATTTTTATAAGAAAATCTTCTAAATAATCTCCAAAATTTGTAGTATTTAGGATCCTGATTTGGGTCTTTGGGGCTAATCATATTTCCTACTACACCTCTCTGAAGTGCACGGTTCTATGCTTACATATTTTTTGGAGTACAGAGCTGTGGTTCATATGCATAAACCCACCTTTGCATGTGCAAAAGTGGTGAGCTTTCAGAGACTACATTGAGACCTTGATCATTTACTGTTGTGGGCTTTTGGAAAGGAAGACTTTGGTTTATTCTTTTGTTTTCTTTGAACCTTGTACATTAAATCTATACATGAAGGTAAACTGAAAGACCAGAAAAAGGAAGATGAATGGGAAAGAAGTGTTTAACATATACCTACATTATAGATAGGATCGTGATAAACAAATCAAATAAAGCTTGATTGGAATATTTTATTACTAAAGATCTTATTTTCATGATGCACTACAAGGCAACTTTTGTAAGAGATATGTGGTGGTTGTTTAAACATGTTCATATGGATGCTTCAAAATCTTGCATATATATTTTAACCAAAGAGAACCTTGGGTAGAAAAGTTAGGATCTAGATCTGTATCTGAGCTATCCCTCTGCTCCAGGGTTTGGGTTTGGTTCTTATCTCTCCTTTAACGATGTAATTTAAAGACAAAACCATAGTTCAGTTTCCTTTTTGAGAGAGAACAAAGTTCACTTTATGAATGCAAGGAAAAAAAACTACGTGATGATATGCAAAGTTTCATAGGTTGTTTTTCTCTGACCCCTTTTTTTCCCAATAATCTTCATATGAACTGACTTCAATTTTCAAGGTACTCATTAGTAAAATGAAAATAAAAGGAAGAATTTTAAAAGAGGAGGGCTTTTGTTTGTTTGTTTTCCTAAATCAGAAGCAAACAGAAGGTAGATTGTGAACAGAGAGTCCTCGAGGCATAGATGTGTCTGACAGTGTTAACTACCAAGGGTTTGTACTTCAAATTTTCCCCACTGTCATGTTACTTTACCAGAGAAAAGTGAAATAGAACCTGCCACTTAATAAGGATATGGTGTTTCAGTCCATGCTTTCCTGTCACATCACAGGCTAGATGTACACCTTCTTGCCATGCCACTAGTTTTTGAATAGGAAGAGAATAATATCATCATTTATTTTACTGTCAAAAACCTCATTCTACTTTTTGCAGAAGTTCTGTGCACAGATCCATGTAATATTAGTGAAATTGCTGTCATAGAGCTGAGACAAAAGTGAGTCAAGAAAAAAAATTTATTTCTTGTGATAGATGTTTAGATTCTATTTGCAGTAATGTATTCTTAGAATGTTTGGAACAAGTAGATAGATTCTCTAAAAACTGGCCAAAATAAGTGGGCTATTTTCTTTTTTATTTTTCAGATTTGGCTTTGACTAGTATCCAGCAATGCTTTCATTACTGTCTACACCACCTCAGCAAGTTCATGATAATTTGGGTCAACCATTTTTTCCTGAATATTTAGAAGTCATTTGCCATAGATTCATCAGGCTAGCCTCAGGGATACAGAGTCTTGGAAACACAATAATGGGAAAAACTCCCTTTGCTCTTTATTCTTCTTTCAGCACTTAATACCACACCTCATGGAACAACTCCACACCTCCTTTCATGTCCTTCCTATCTCTCTGGTACATCCTTCCTCTAAGCAGGAGCCAGCTCATCTCCCTAATCTCCTTTTGCTAAACATCTTTCTTTTGCTTACAATACACTAAATATACAAATGGCCAAAAAGCACTCTAGATGGCCCTATAACTTGACAAGCCACACGTCTATAATTACGCGTGAACCTCATCAGCTAACAAAATATTACCATCATGTTCTAACACCTTCTCCTATTCCCTTGGCTCTGGTTCCCCAACCACTTCCCTCCACCTTCCACGACAGCTCCTCTTTGCATTGCTTTAAAGACTAACAGCATATTGAGGGAAATGTTTTCCATACTGCTAATATAGCCTGTGTGACTGTTCAGTTGTTAGTGAATAATGACAATAATAACAGTAATAATTGTGTTTGTATTCATGTTTGGCTCTCATTAGATGCTGACTCGTTGCTGACATAATAGCCACTCAGATCTATGCTGCTGCAGCAGCCAGTATTTCATGTGGAAGTTCACTTTAACCACTATCACCACCAACACTTCTCTTTTGTTATGGGACTAGTTTGGTTTTCAGCAGTAACAACCACTAATTTGCCTACTTTAAAAAAAAAAAAAATCAGTTGGTTTTTTTTTGTTTCCTTTTTTTGTAAACTCTGTTTCATATATTTTGTTTTAATAAAGGGCATCTACCTGGAAACTGCAAGGTTCCTCTTTAGGGCTGGTTTATGAGCGAGAAGCAAACAAAATAAGGAACTTGAGATGGAGACCCAAAACAGCAAAGTGTCTTGGGGAATGTCCAAATTTTCCCATTAGACTACTACTTTTTACATTAATTGATTCATTCAATCAACAAACTGATTGTGCCTATTCATTAAATACATGAGGGCCACAGCACAAATTAGCTAGGGCAGAGAAGCAGGAAATTAAGCATAAAGAATTTTATGCTAAAATATGCAGCTTTCTGGGGATCCAACCTAGTTGATAGAAGCATTTATACCATGTCATGACCCACTGCCTGACTAACCACAATATGATCACACTTTTTTGCTGATGGGATAGGAAAAGCATATTTCAAAGAGGAGATGTAGCAGAGGCAATGCAGGGTTCATGGGAAGAGTGGGAAGAGTCACTCTGCAGAGCTGACAGGGTGGGTTTATTTGGCTATTAACTCCTCTACCACATTCCCTAGTACCAAGCTGGGACTTGCTGATCCCACCTATGGGATAGCTCCATCCAGGATGCCTGCTTGCCCTACATTCCTCCCCAGACTACCAAGTACCCCAAGGTGAACCTCTGTCTGCAAAGGAAGTTTTCCCCACATGGGTGGCTATGGCTGAAACAGCCCAGTGGAGCCCACCAACCCTGTTTCAGAAAGCTGCTCTCAGACATTACTTTTACTAACACGCAGTATTTTACATTTGTGTGGTTTTGGTAAACATTTACTTGGAGCCCAGCTGTATCCATGTGGTTTCTTCATATTGTATGTGTTGAGATAAGAGTAAGAGATTGCAAGACCACTTCCCTGGCATCCCACTCCAGTGGCTGCATGAGGGCTGTCTGCTTTACCACTGGTGAAGCAGCAGGCTCGCTTCCCCCCTGCTCCCAGGACTGTGAGCCTACCAGAGCCACATGGCACTGGGACAGTATTTTACATATATGCCACCACATGTTCATGCTCACTACCTTTATTAAGACAACCAGAAAATGGGGGAATGAGGTTTCCTTACTCTGCACCCACTCCCTACAGGTAAGTCAAGAAGTTGTGGGAAACAATGTCTCCCCACATCTGTAAAATCCAAGAACACTTTCCCACCTTCCTTGCCTCCCTCCTCCCTGTGGTTAGAAGAGCGGCGCTTCCGTGGCGTTACTCCTTCTCACCTGGCACAGCAAGAGCTGCCCATCCTGTTTCCATTGATTTCTCCAGTGGTTGCGTTAAACAATACAATGGAGTATTTATGTGTCAGAGTTAGGAGCAGGTTATTAAGTAAAACCCACCGTAAATAGAGCCGTTAATTCAGTTGCTGGCATGGCTCTCTGTTATCTCTTCAATACCTCCCAGAGGGTATTAGTCTTACCCTTTCGTTTGAGTTGGCAGCAGAGTTATTTTTTTGCACCTGCTGCTCTACTCCGATAACAACACAGGTCAGCTTTGATTTGTTGGAATATAAACAAAAAAAGCAAAGCCAGGCATCTGCCTCAACAGCCAGGGCTGATTTGACGGCAGAGCTTTTCCCATTGGGTTTTGTACAAATGTGCTCTTTCAATTCTTACTCTCTCCTGTTTCACAAACAGTCCTTCGCTACGGAATAACCTGGTGTCAGAAAAGAGCTCAATGCTATTCTTTTCCGTCAATGGAACCAGTCAAAGCAACACTCTATTCTAAGACTAAAGTCAGAAGAAGTATCATGGAAAATACACAAAGAAAAAGCAGCTAAGACACGGTTCAAAAATTACTAGGAAAAAGCAGCAAATTAAGTGTAAACAGTAAAGGAACTTTCTTGAACGATAAAGAAAACCTGAAAGACTGGGAGGGTTTGCTTTCCCATATGAACCCACACCAACTCCATCACTTAATCTACTATTTCAGAGGAAAAAAAAATAACCTTGAGTCCATGAGAAGTAGGTACTCAGATGGGAACTGAGCTACTTTTTAAGTTCTTCTGAAAATTAAGCCTGCAGGGCTCATAGGGCTCATCTACTCTAAATAGCATCTATGGTGATGGAAGAACTGAAACACTAACAACCACGGAGCAGAGAAAGAAGAGTCCACCCACACAGCAAAGGTAGTAAATAGCACAAAACATAGAAATGAAGGAAGGAACCAGCATTGCATCCACATTACAAATAGGAAAATCGAGACACTGAGTTGAAATAATTCACTTAAGTCACATAACAAGTCAATGGAGATGTCAGTCCGACTCGTATCTTCCAGCTCAAGCTCCATTACTATCCATTGCACCACGTCTCTGGGAAATCTTTCAACATGCAGATGAGTTAGGTTGAATGTGGTTTTTGTGAGGGCAGAGAGAAGGTATTAAACAAGAGAAAGAATTCTCAAGAAAAAAAGAGAGACCTGTTCAGACTGAAAACAAGATTCTTCTATGCATCATGGCTATTATGTGACTAGTAGAGATTTGAATTATAAGTTAGCCAAACAATTAAACCTACGCTTGAAGTATTAAATCAAAAAAGCTGCCCTTGACCTATGTATGATCCTGAAAATTAGCTAGAAATTCCTAGGCAGAGCTGGCTGAAATTCAAAATTTCTGTTCCGTTGAACTGTGGCTGTTTCTATAGGGGTTTTTCCTTCCTTTTTGTTTGTTTGTTTGTTTGTTTGTTTGTGGTTTTTTTGGTTGGTTGGTTGGGTGGGTGGGTTTTCTTTGCTTGTGTGGTTTAGGATTTTTTTTTTGTTGGCTGCGTTTTGGGATTTTTTTTATTTTCTCATTTAATCCCAATGAAAGAAAGGAATTTTTAAAATAAAGTTCCCTGGCAACAGGGAATCAACTGACATGTAAAAACGTATGTTCAAGTTGTTCAAGGATCAAATGTGCCACTCTGTTATGTAGAATTGTTTGTGAAAGACAGAAATGTGAAGCATAAAACTGAGGTACACAGGCAGTAAAATCATCCCAGAGCAGCTGCACTGGGAGCAATAAATTTACCTAACATGGCTGTTGTGCATATGGTGACCAGGAAACCCTCTGCAGAGCCCAACCATGCTAATCCTGAATGCAGACAGCCTCAAAACCAAACTAGGATGTGAACTTTGTGATCCCGTTCATTCTTTTTCACTGAACCTTTATTCTTCATCTTCTGGCTTATTTATTTTAATTTTTAATTTTTCTTTCCTTTTTTTCCCCCCTCTCTCTTTAATTTTTTGCCTTTCAGTTAGTCAGACTGACTGACCAGGACAAGTAAATTTTCTTCAATATATCATAGTCCTGTAACCAGTAAAACAGAGTAAAATATCATCTTCAAGTATCTATCTGTGGCACACGAATGCCAGGGCTTAGAGCAACTGCGGAGTATGTAGCTGGTCTCTGGGGGGACACTGGAGGAATCAGAAATCGGAAAAAAATTTCACTTCCACCAGCTCTTTTTGCTCCCCTGTACTGCTATGTATCTCAGTTATCAGTGTAACTGGAAGAGATTGCCTCAACAAAATCAATGAAAATATTCCCAGACTATTTCAAGCAACTATTTTCCTCAAAAGTAGATTTTTTACCATGGAATTATATCTATTTTAACAATGTTCTGAGAAAGAAGATTATTATTATTATCAGAGATCCTTAAAACAGCTATTTGCAGGTGCTGGGGAGTTTTTTATTCTTTTCTTTTTATCTTTAATGATTAAATCCTCATTAGATTTTTAAACATTGAAGATGTGTCATAGCATAGGGAAGGTTAATTCTTTGATCTGCAGCTTATAGTCCACAGTTTGGGGAAGGGCACCCCAGCTCTCAGGCCATGCACATGTTCCTGCAAAAAAAACCTTACTGCAGCCCAGGAGGAAACCTTCAGGCATGGAAGTGGAAAGCAGCTCTGTCTAGGTCTCCTGGCATGAACAGCCCCTCACTCACTACAATACAATGTCAGTCACTCACCTGTACCTACTGACACAACATGCCAAATACCAATAGCCGTGCTTTTTAAAGGATTAAATCAAGGAACTATGCAGATTAGAAAACAGAATTGGCTGAAATTGGGAAAAAAATATTTGAATTCCTGTTTTAAAAGTGATGGGAAGAAAGCCTGTGAAGGAGATAAGGGATTTGCAAGTCTTATGAGGAGCATCTGAGGGAATAGGGGTTTTTTAGCCTGGAGAAAAAAAAGGCTCAGAGGAGACTTTATCACTCTCCACAACTACCTGAAAGTAGTCTGGATGTCAGTCTCTTTTCTCAGGTGACAAGTGACAGCATGAGAGAACGTGGTATCCAGTTGCACCAGGGGAATTTTCATTGAATATTGGGAAACATTTCTTCACCAAAGAGGTTAGCAAGCATTGGGACAGGCTGCCCAGGGAAGTGGCAGAGTGTCTACACCTGGAGATATTTAAAATACACATAGATATGGCACTTAGGGACTTGGTTTAGTAGAAGACTCAGTAGCGCTGAGTTAATGGTTGGACTCAATGATCTTAGAGATTGTTTCCAGCCTAATTGAATCTATAATTCCATGTATTTAGAGCAAGGTGTTTGTTGTGACTGTTAGAATCAGCAACAGGCAGACAAAGAAATTTATGGGATTGACCCTTGTCCAAAAATGTTTAAGACTTTAAGAACTTTCCACCTGTTATTACAAGGAATTACAGCTCCATCGTTAAAAGTCTTAGAGAGGGTAAGGATATCTGCAGGTCACTAAACGTAGAAAAAAACTGCATCTGTTTCATTCTGTACATTCCAATTTTGATAAGTCTATAAGGATATCTTACTTATCTAATCACCTATTAATCCAGTCTTCTAAAACTTTTTCATCTTCTTCTGTCAGGGCAGGTGCCTGGGAATATTAAGTCTTTTATGTGAGTACTGTGTTAGATCTCACTGCAAAAGAGATGAGAACAGCACCCATGAGTGTGTCAGAATTTGACTCCCTGATAAAGCCCCTCCAATCTATGAGACAACTGCTTAACCAAGCATACTTTGAAAGTGCATCATCAAGATGCAAGCTTTTAGGCTATTGTGTAATAATAATTACATGTTGCAGTAAAAATCATTAAGAAAGTTTGGGGGTAATCACTATATCATGGACTTAGTCTGATTCCTGACCATCTTGGGCAGTTTTACAAGGATTCTTTAACAGCAACATGAGTTAGTTAACTGCTCACTGCTAAACGAGAGAAAACTTGGAACAGTTTTAAAAAACAAAACCAATTCTTCTTGTGTTGGCACTACTAATTTAGGCAACAGAACAATTTTTATACATAGTTGCTTAATCCTTACAGGGCTCAGGAGACTGAGCTTCTGTAACATCTGATATTCTGGCGACATCTGATTGTGCATTGAGAAAATACCTCAAATGTTTATGTCTGTATCCTTCCTCCATAGTAGGAAGGAACTTTTATTCTACATTTTTGTAGCTCCTTTAGGTAAAATTACTTTCTTTCCACCACCACCAAGCAATTCTCTTTTATTACCGCATCCCATTAGTTTATTATCAGAGATTACCCAGCTCCAGTTGGCTGTTCTGTCTACTAGTTGTCATACTCTTTCCTGTGAAGCACATTTCACAAGATCAGCAGAGGAATAGGTAATGATAACCATGTGCAATGTCAGCTTTTGGAAAGGCAGCCTTTGAGGGCTCTTCCTCAGAGGGAGACATGCAAAACACCAAATGCCAGTCGATTGCTCCACTGGTTACATGACTTCATGTTTACTCATTCTTACCCGTCTGTAGACCAATGACCAACAAATGCCCCAAGTATTCTAGGCATTCAGTAAGGGATTTGGTGCAACCTGCAACCCCAGTGGAGCTCAAAGGAGCTCTCATCCTAAGACTCCTGATGACTTCTTCAGAAACCGAATTAATCCTTACTTTTTTTTGTATACCAGCTGTGAGAAAAAATCTTTCTTTGCTTAGCCTTTTGATCAGCAGCATTACTCTTAAGTTTCACAGTTATCAAGTTACAATGTACCCTCTTCTTGAAAACTTAGTGAAATACAGGTGTTCTGCAGAGTGTGCTGAAGCAGGGACGGCGAGGGAGACGCACAGCCATTTCTGGTTAGAGATCTTGAAGTGCCCTTGGACACTGGCTGAGCGGCTGAAGCAAGAGCACTTGGCTGAAGATGGTGTTGAACTTCACCAATGCTCACAAGGCACTTATTGTTAGGAAGAAAATTCCATGAGCTTGTGGCTGAAATTCAGTAGTAGTGAAGCGGTGAGATAGGACAGAGACTTCATTAAACATCACGAACTATGCTAGCTACAAAAACAGTGTTTCTGCTCGTTTCCTTGTGGACAGCAAAGCCTTTACATTTCGTTCTACCACATCCTAATACTGTGTGTCATTAGTAATGACAAATGACAACTAAGTTTGTGGCCGTTTTCTTTTTATGTGCTGCTTGTTGCTGGAATGCCTATACCTCAGCAAGAATACCTACTTTACAAGTGTAGGAAGGCTGATGAGAAAGAGAGCCCTGTAAGACCACAGAAAATCCTACAGAGGGTGGGCACACTGCACTCAGAATAAGAAAGGGTTATTCATCTCTATCTGTATCTTGATCTGAGCACACTGACGAATTTTAAGCCAGACAGGCCTGTCCTGGAGCACCCACTTTCCAACCTGTCTCTGTACAGTAGGTCATTGCCCCAGTTCACAGAGATGGTATTCATAGTGTTACAGAAAGAGGTCAGACAATTTTGTGAGGACTGAATGTGAACAAGTTAACACCAACAGAAAGCATGTGACTGTAGACTCCACAGAACAGATCCAGACAATATTACAGTTACTGAGAAGTTTTCTTGGTTTGGTCTAATCTAAGTTAAACATATTTATAAAAAGTGTGGAAGGGCCAAACAAGGAAGGAAAGCTCAGCGCCGATTCTGGAAAGGTGTCATGGCTCATGGTCAGTTCTCTGAGTTTGCTGAGTCAATAAAATCATTCATTCTTTTCTGCGAGAATTGTACATAAATACACACTTCTTCAGCAGGTGTAGAATTCCATCCTCAAAGGGGAGTTTGGTGCAAATTGTGGTGGGACAGGCGACAGGCTAACATGTCACTCCTGTCTGAACACAGACGCACCTACAGAAATCCTTCTTTTTCCTCTATAATTTCTCTCCATCTGTGTTTTATTTTTTTTTCAGTTTCTTCTCTCTCCACTGCAGTTTGCTACCTTGCACTTCCAGACAGAACAAATACAGATGTTAACAAGAAAATTCATTGTGACTGAAAAAAAATTAAGGAAGTTGAGTAGGAGCCAAATGATTTAATTTTTCATTTGTCCAACTGTCCTATTGTCTGTTTCCACCACTGCTGAAAACCCACAACACCCTGAGAATATCTAAAGTAATAAGAAATTACTATGGCAATACCACAGCATATTCTCTCAGGTGACAAGAGCACAATAATATCCTGTGTTAAACAGACCACATTCTACTACCTGATCTCACCACGACCAGGGTAAATATACGGTTGTCACTCTATGGGTTGCTGTGAAGCGCGACCTAACACCTGCTGGGGCTAGCAAAGAGATGTTCTGATCTGATATGAGAACCTTTGTTATCGGGACTTGGGGAAAATATGTATTTTTACCATTGTTATAGGCTTTGCAAGTGACACTTGGAGTAGAAAAAAACTAGAAATGCTAAATGCAGGGAAACATTGACTCTGCTAATGATAGCCTCGTCTCTGCAAACAGGACCAGTGCTCAAGGGGGAGAAGGGTGTCTGGAGGATGGCGGCTCTAGAAAAGCCTTGGGCACACTTCATAAACCCCTGAACTGGAATTCCCAGTATATTGACTCATAATATCTCTGTTTGGCACTCTACAGACTCTGATCCATCCTGACATCCAAATTTCACAGCTAATGTTGAAAAATTAGAGAGCATTGAAGAGATTAAAGGATGGAAAAGTTTACAGTGCAACAGGTTGAGATCCTTCACTGTACTGTAAGTTTCTCCATGAAAAGGAACAGGCTTTGGAGCTCAGACTCCCACAATTATCAGAGACTAGGCTAAGAAAGGACTTGTTCTTAGCTAACTACACAAGGAACAGAAACTTCCTACCCAGGGAAACTTCTCAATAATCATCGAAAAACAACAAAATCAGGTGGTTGAATGTTAAAGCAAGACCATGTCAGACTGAAAATGAGATAAAATATTTTTAGAAGAATAGTATTTAATTGCTAGGGCCCTTAACATTCTGGGGAATTTCCCATCACTGGACTTCTGGATTTTTTTTTCAAGATTGGAAGTTTTCTAAAAGATAAGCTCTACTTGAAGTCACATAATTATCTCTGAAAAATTCTGGCGAGTCCTATGTTGTTATTACAACAATCACTTGGTTTTGAAAATTGTACAGGGAAGGAATTAAACTGTCATTGTGATATTTATAAGTGAAACACCTTAATCCTGTTGTTTTTCTAGTTTCAACTGCAGCTTTTTCTTTAGTTTCTGCATTTGCATTAAATATAAAACTGCTCTATTTTCCAGCTCTGATATTTTCTACAGTGTAAAATAGATGTCAGACAACTAGCTTAAACTACACCCTGCAAATTTCCTATCAAAGCAAAACTTAAAGGAACACATTTTTAAATTTTACTGAAGTTTTCACAAATTGCAGGAAATACTGGTGCATGTTAGATCTGCTTAACACAGTGTCAAGTGAGACAAGTATAAATAAAATGACTAAATGAAACTTTTACCTCAAGGTACATTTCTGTCATTACGAGCTTGCTTAATTCTAATAATTTTTTGGTTCTGAAAAATGGCAAAGGTAAGAAAGAAAGGATAGTTGGATGTACTTTAGAAGCAAACACAACATATAACTTCAGATGAAGTAATCAAAAAGCACATTAGTGATATAATTGAATAACTCTATAACAACATACACACAAGTATGTGTCTAAAATGTCTCACAGGGTGAAATGCAAACATTTGTCTCTAAGTCCATTACACATATTTTACAAAATCAACACAGATTTGGAGCAACTTTTTCTTTACATTCTCTTCTACAACTACTTAAACAACTGTGTCTATACCTTAAGGGGCCAGTTCTGGTTCTATTAAAATGAAATTACCATTGGAACAGAAACAAATTAAACAAGCAAAGACACTGCGGGCCTCACGCTATATTTACCTACCCAGTGCCTGAGCTAGGTTCTGTGCAGTGTTTTTGCTTAGACAGAACTAAAATCAGCAGAACCTCCTTCACCACACAACTGCCAAGAAATTGCCTTGAGGCTGAAACCAAGACAAATCTTAAATGTAATACTTCAGGGTTTTTTGTTACAAAAGTCCAACAAAATCCTCATCACTAAAATGAACCAAAACACGGTCATTGTGGACTGTATCCCAGTTCTATGACACAAGCACTCTCAGTAGCATTGAGAACGTCCACTTTTCGCCCCCTGTCTTACCGAACAGATGACAACTCTAGTGACAAAAGCAGCAGATTTAGGACCCAGAAGATTATAAGATACATCATAATAAAAGATTCTTGGGATCTGGTCCCACCCAAACATAAACAGAGCAGAAATACTTAAATAGAAGATACAAGTTCAAACCAGGAAAGCAGAAATCTTTATTGCAACATTAAAAAGCCTTTGATTAAATGGGCTTAGCTGCTGTTCCAAAGTGGGAAGGTAAAGGTATGGTGGCTAGGAGTCCAGCAGACAATTTATTTTTTTTTTTTTGTATTATTTTCACTGGTGTTATTTTAGAGTAAGTGCATTAAAGAAAAAAAATAAATACCCCAAACACCTTACCTCATTTAGCTGCAGATTCTGGAGTGGAAATCCTGAACTGAGGCAATGGGAAAACTGTCTACAGAACAGTAGGTTGGGTAAGCACAGGTTATGTCAACTAAAGACTCCCAGGAGTGAAGATAAATGGATGTGATACTAATTTTAAAACATTTTGCTGAACACTCAAGCAGCCAATAGGGGAATTCCTTAGGTCACTTCCTGTTCATTTGATTGGATCTGCAACGACAACAACCAAGATGAGGTTGAGAGCGTTTGCATAAGGCCAGCTCAGTCCTCGGCATTCAAAGAGAACAGGTCTAACCGGGTTACACGCGTGGCTCCAGAACAAAAGAAAAACCTGGTAATGGATGAGGGATTGATTTCTTTGTAGCTGTTTTCTTAAGACCATCCCTTCATTTTTATTTTATTTTTTTAAATGGAGGTTATTTCAGGTAGATAGGGAGATCATAATTAGAATGGGGACAGGTGAAAAGCAGGAATGTCCTAAATTAAAATTAGTCTGGAAATAACATTAGGAGATGCATGGTGTGGAATAACCCTGCGCTGGCAGGGAGGTGGACTGGGTGAGCCCATGTAATGGGCTCAGTCATTTCTTTTATGCATTGAGAATCCTGAGAAATGCATGAAAGGGGTTTATTGGGCTTTCAGCTTCTCGGGGTATTTGAGGGTAGGTAAGAAACAAAACGAGATAAAAAGTCATCAGTGTGTGGGTGTCTGGGGTTGAGTATGACCGTTCAGCTATATGCAGGTTAGCAGGGCAGAGAATTGGTAAACGTGTGCTCAGTCCAAAGTTGTCCTTGATCATGTGGGAGTTGCTCCTCCAGCCTGCAACCATGAACCTGAGCAGGAAACCAGGTGCCCAGATAAAAATAGGAAGCCTCATCTGTTTCTCATTATTTCACTGGTCAAAAAAGGCACCGACATGAAAACAGTTAAAAATGCACTAAAATGTGGGAAGGTTCTGAGGTTTCATTAATTTGTATGCATAAAACAAGAAATGCTAAATATTATTACTCGGTGACTGTTCAGTGGTCTGTGTGATGTGAATTTTCTAGTCTTTGCTCATTTTTGGTCCCAAGTCTCATCATAAATCTTCCCCTGACAGATGCTGACAAGAGTTCGCAGTGCTAGATTTGCCAAGCACAGGGAATGAATTGTCCTTCAACATCCAGAGATACTATTAATTATTAATCAAGGCTCATTGTCAATGCAGGGGAAATATTTTACAGATATTATTTATGCTGAACCTGATTTCAAGATAAATAATGGATCTCAGACTCAAGGAATGTCACCTTGTTCCTATCTAACACCAATTGAAAATGAAGTTCCTTTTGCTCACATAGATAAGGTGCACCTGTGTACAAGTGTTGTTTGGGAAGATTCAATTATTTCTCAGCCAGGTTAGGTCAAGTTCCATGGTTTCCATTGATTCTCATCTATCAAAGAAAGTTGTCCTTGAAGAAGAAGGAAGACTGTAAATACCCATCTTGGAGAGCTTCATTGTTTTGTGGTTACAACATCAAGGCTTGAGATTGTCCCTGCAGACAGCTCAGCAGCTATTTTGATAGGCCTAGCACTTACAAGATTTCTCTAAGCATTCATGTCACTGAGTCCAAGTATTTGCATACCAGGTCATGTCTTGGTGAGTATTTATAGCTTTCATCATCAAAATAATGCCTTAGCATAATATCAGCATGAATGATCTGTCCAGAACAGGAAAAGCAAAGAACTAGCAAGCAGTAAAGAGCACTTCCCTTTCCAGGAAGGATATCTTTTACAAGAAACCAAAGTCTTACCTTGTGCCACTGAGAAAAACACGGGAGATTAAAGAATCACACTGAAATACATCTTATCTATATGCTGCAGAAGCACCACAGGAGGATGTGACCACTGGATCTCAACATAGACAGGGAAAACAGAATTTTCCTCTTGCTAAAAAGGACATCAGCAAAAGCAGAAGGAAAATGGTTACGATGTGATACTGAGACTGGAATGTCACTTTCTGTTTGTGTGACTGTTGGCCTTTTCTGTTTCAGCTCCTAAGGGCAGAGACAGCTTTGGTTGCTAAGACGCAGAATACTTCCAGACAGACAAAAAAGCACATTGTACCAACAGGTCTGGACAGGGTGAAGCTAGCTTGGTCGGCACACCAGCATGCATTATTTATTACTGTGCTATTTTCAAAGGCAGGGTGCCACACAGGGTGGTGGCTCCCTAAATTTACTGCCCTACCTGGCCAACTATGCTACCCCCATGCTCACAAGTATGCTTATTGACACTTACATGTGGTTCAGCACAGAGAGGATTACGGGTGGCTTTTGGAGACAGTCAGACCTTTCCCTCTGCATATCCTTCTTTAGCACTGCAGCCACAAAATTAACATGAATTTGGTCCCCACACAGTCCTAGGTGGCAGAGAAAACATTAAAAACTTCATAACTAGGAACTTGAAGGCCACAATCCTGGTATGGCAGAAGTGCCAGTGCAGATTCCCAGAATTAATTTAATTACAGCCATCAAGCATCAAGGACATTACCTAAATTTGTCTAGATTCTTAAATTGGCGTCTCTTACTGTAATGTCTGACACTTGATGAAAACAGAGAACAAATGTATGGTAATTTCTATTTTTTCATTAATATTAATCTCTGCTTCATTTGTTAAATTCCAGTGAAATATCAAAAGGTGGGTATAAAGCTGATATGTAAGTTAGACATGCCAAGCAGTTTGAGAATACAGAGTATGAGATTCCTGCCTTCATTCTGCTGCAACAAAATCAGAAATGATTCATTAACTTTAATGGAAAATCGTACACTTTCTATAAAAACATCACTAGAGAAGCCAGAATAAATAGAACAAATACTGTTTCCAAGCTGTGTTCTATGTTACAGGCAAATGCCACCTATTACTAAGGTTGCCCATTATTTGGGCTTGCAAGACCTTGTAATTTTTTCTTCACAGTTTGTTAAATTTTAGCCTTTAGCTCTTTGGCTAAATTGAAATTTTTCATCATAGACATTGGCTTTGCAACAACATTTTGAGTACTGTCATCCATACTAGTATATGTTTTTCTGACAAATTCAGAAAGGCTAACGAAAGTGCTGTACTTTGCATTTATAGTAAGAAATATTACTGCCTTTTTTTTGGAAAGCTCAGGAACATTTATTTTTGAAGCATGGATTGATTACAACAGGCTGTCAAATTACGAGTGTACTATTTACCATTCCAAATAAAATCCAACCAAAGTTAGCCAGTTTAAAGCTTATTGACAAATCACAGAATCACAAAACGGGCAAGCTTGGAAGAGGTCACAGTGGGTCTTCTAGTTCAACCTTCAGGAACATCCTAGAGCACCTTGCACAGGATTGTATCCAGAGAGATTTTGAGTATCTCCATTGAGAGAGACTCCTCACCCTCTCTGGGCAGTCTGTTCCACTGCTCATTCACACACACAGTAAAGTGGTGCTTCCTCATATTCAGGTGGAACCTCTGTGCATCTGTTTCTGCCCATTGCCTCTTGTCCTGTTGCTTGGCACCACAAGAAAGGCTCCATCCTCTGATACCCTCCTGTACCCACTTACAGACACTGGTAAGGTCCATTCTGATTCGTCTCTTCTTGAGGCTGAACAGGCCAGACTGCCTCAGCCTTTCCTCGTAAGTGAGAGATGGTGCACTCTCCCAGTCATCTTTGTCATCCTTCACTGGATCAACTCCCTGGCGTTCAAGTCTCTCTTGTTCTGAGGAGCCCAGAACTGGGCCTCACCAGGGCTGAGTAGAGGGGCAGGATCACCTCCTGTGAGCTGCTGGAAATGCTCTTCTAATGCACCCCAGGATACCACTGGC